GCACTGTCAATTTACGCAGCACTTTACATATATATATATATATATATATATATATACATATATACATATAGTACATTCAGGTCAGTCCTTAACCCTCAAGGGGCGTACAATCTAAAGTCCACAAATTACATTCATACATACACATACTAGGGCCAATTTAGACAGGATCCAATTAACCTACCAGCATATCTTTGGAGTGTGGGAGGAAACTGGAGTACCCGGAGGAAACCCACACAGGCACAGGGAGACCATGCAAACTCCAGGCAGGTGGTGCCGTGGTTGGGATAATAATGTAGACTGAAAGAGACTGTAAAGATCAGCAGAACTGAGATGCAAAGAACACTGAGAAAAGATTGAAAATAGTATTTAAAAAAAAACCCATAAAGATGTTCGCAAATCAAAACATGAAAAATTGGCAATTGTTTTAATTGTAAGCCATCATTTTTCAACCTAGATATTATCACATTAGAGTTTAGACCTACTTTAATATATCTTTAGAAGACAAGAATATTTTCCTTAATAGCAAGGTACAGCTTCATAACTGTTAGCCTTCCTGGCAACCGAGTTAGTGCAAGTACTCAATAAACTAATCCATGCTTTATAATATCTGGCCTGATAGCAAATGGTATGAATGAGTGACAAAGGAGATGCTCTCGGGGTTTTCATCTGGGCCAACAATTCTCCCTGTAAACAAAACTATTAGGTTATAACTAACTGCTGTTTATAACACAGTTTTGTTGCCATGGTTTTTTTCTGAAGTATTTTTATTCTCTGGTTCCAGCAGATGAGGAGATTGATCTATATTCTTTATTTTTGTTTATATAGGTACTTTTTGTCTTCATTTTACCATTGTAGCTGTTGGAGCAACTGTCGATCTTGGTTTGGTATGTAGGGAGTCACTGATGTGGAACAAACATGTGAGACACCTCATAGGCGTGTTTAAAGACATTGAATCACAAGTTATTGAGGGAAGTAAAAGCATGGCAGTCCCAAATCAAGTCAACAATGGAAGTTCCCATACTTCTATCGTCCCAGGATCTTTAGATACCACTAGACAATTTGTAGACGCCAGTTGTTGTGAAACTACAAATGCAAATAAAACTATAAATAAGATCATGTTGGGACCAATACATCCATAAATGGTAAAGTTGTTAGCATTTCTAAAACACTATAGTTCCTTTTGACATTGCTTGTCATACACAGCAAACTACAGACTTTATCTCTTAGACTATGTTAACAAAGTTATACGCTTACAATGATCTAGGTATAACTTGCAGTGCCGCTCTAAGCTGAGATAATGATCGGTTGAAGTGAAGGTGCAAGGCACCCATGCACCATTGAAGGGTGTAGAAGCATCATTAGAGAAAGGGAGAAGCACGAGCTCACTGACCCAGTCCATGAATATGTGGATGAATGTGGCCTCAGCCAGTGCCGCTCTGTCCAGGCCCTCTGACATGTTTCACCCCACAAACCAGGGCTTGGTCACAGAGGTCCAACCTGGTTTGGTGAGAAGTCCTTCTTCTTTTTTCTGATGATATAGGTATAAGCTTTCCATAGGCAGTATAGTTAAATAAGTTGCAGAGTACAAATCCATAAAATCTCAGACACATTGTAAAAAGAACGCTGGATTTTTTGATAAAAAATAAGCTAAATTGTCACCACTTAGTACCTGGTATGAGTATGGTCTGAACTATAAATTTATTTTCAAAGACAGACTCCATCAACAGCATTAAACACAAGCTAAAACATTTTTTCTGGGAAATGATCATTACTGTTTCTCTTTGGGACATATTGTGACCTCCGAATACTTGTTTAAAGAACTTCATTCACTTTATATAAATCAATAAGAAAGATGCATGTGCCTGATGAAGAATTAATCATTTTCAAGGTGCAATACATTAAAAGCTTATTTTATGTTGTCTGTTTTATAAAAAGGCTCTTAATGTTTCTATGGTAACCTGGGGTTGGAATGCATTCATTGAATGAAGCAGTTTGTGATTTAAAATATATTCCCTTTTGTTAGGCAGAACATATTTAAATCTTGTTTTCAGTCTCTATTTCATTTTTTCTTCTCACCTAGAGATTAATCCAGTCCAGAGATTTCAGTTTGCTGGGAGCCATTTTGATTACCATGGTATTTTTTTTTTTGTAATCATAAGGTTTTATTATCATGTATCCCCTAGCTTTTCTATGTAGCAAAACACCCGCCTTCTTACATTGTACAAACAGCACAGTTTTATCTCTGTAGACTTTCAGGGACTGACAACTCTGACAAAAGATCTCCCTATGTTTGCTTGAATCCAGTTCAGTGACTTGACACAATTTTCTGTATGACACAGCCAATGAATTGATGTTGAGAATGCGCAATGACGAGACCGTCCTATTTTCTTTGGAGAAAAGGAAACAAGGTCAGAGTGATCAAAGATATTTTCTAACAAGTTGGAAGGTCATAAGAACAAGTGCATATAACAATCTCAATCCATTGTTACTTAGCAGGTAAACTCTGCATGGCCCGACTACAAATATCTTGTCTTGTCTAGATGGCGCTTGCTATTATAGGACAGTCAGAAGTGTGGAAGCAATCTAGACTGATAAGTGGCTGGTACAGCAGGTATCGTAAAAAGAAATGCATAATGATTTTGTATACAGTATATTTTCTTTTGTTTTTTTAGGGTCAGGGCTGAAAAAAATGTTAAACATATGTTCAGGTAATATATAAAATAGTGCATATCAATATTTTCTCCCTTTATCATCAGTTAACAGCTGAAACTTTAGGCACCTTTTCAGATGTTCACATTTAAAACTCTCGATTAACCTTCCACACGTTGCTATAGGTCCTTACATATGTTTAGCATATGTTAGCATATGTTTAGCAAACGTTTGCACAAAAACAGGGATTCTTGGGTCACATTGTGATATTTTGGGGATCCGGATCACTAGCCAGGTGTGTCTTTATAAAAACAGTTTTTATTTCCCGAACTACACAAACAAAAGCTTCTTCAGCACTGAACAAACAGTCCACAAACTCTTGTACAAAACAAAATGTTGGCTCACCGCCAGCATAAAATGTCCCACAACAAGGTTTAATGCCTGTCTGCTCCAGGGGTCCAGAAACAATCACAATAGCCCAGCCACAGCCAAAAAGCCCGCAGCTCCTTTACACTATGCCCTGTTCCACACACCACTCGTGGACACCTACTTGCTAATTATATTTCTGTCAAACCTCTCCCATCGGAAGGTTAACCCTTTCAGATCCAGGGTATCGATAGTCAGGGTTGGAGGCTCTGTCTCTTCGAGTCTCCAGATTCTGGGATCCCTATCAGGACTTAATAATCTGGGGAAAACTGCAAATTCAGTTTCCCTTTTTAACAGGCCACCCAAAACCCCTCATCCCTCACAGTGAGTATCCCTGAGTTTTTTACTGTCTACTTTAAAGGAACCACAACCCACACAATGGTGACATCCAGGATCCATCCATGGCTCCATCCATGGCTCAATTGCAATGCATGTTTAAGCTGGTCAACTGCATTAAAGTGGTGCCTCTGAGCTTTGCCCCTACTCTACTTTGCAAAGTACTAAAAACTTACATGCTCATAGCATACTCTAATAGGCATATAGGGTTAGTATGGGTAATAGTCACTGATCTGCATTATGCTATATATACACAGTATATATAATATATATTGTATACACACATAATCGTATATATAATATATGGTGCTAGAGTGATGTACACTGCTATACATATACCTTAGTTCCTTTTAAGATGCATAGCTGTCTATCATTACCTACATTGCTGGAAAAGCTTGTGATTTACAGAGCTCAATAGCTCAAGCTGACATTTAGAGAAGTGAATGTGTCAGAGGCATGACTCATCCCTGCAAACTATTGCAGGTTCCATTTAGATTAATTGAGAAACAAAGTATAACTTCTAATTTAGGTTTATACCTATTTATTAAAATGGAGTAGAAGATTTAGTTGTGCCCATGTGACATATGAACACAGAACACATAATATGCAGCCTTATGCTCTCTATTGTGTTCATAAATTAGCAGGAGCACACAGCTTTGACCACGGACAAAACTTGCTGCGTTGTTACAACTTTGTTTAGAGTGCTTGAAAAAAAAAAGCACAATACAATGATTACTGCTTTATTTTTCAGAAGCCTTATTATTCCGTTTTCACTACTGTTTTTTTTTAAGTGTAAACATTTTTTCCAGTTAAAAGGAAATTATACATTCCAATGATGAGCATCTTTTAATCATGTCTTTCTAATGCTGTCATCACAGTGTATAGGCCAAATCTTGTATACAATAAACACTTGACAGTTGGACATTATCAAAGATGAAAAAAGTGGCCATCTTTATGAACATAATAGCATAGTTGTACCTTGGTGGGCATTTCAGGCTTTAGTTTCTAAAATCTATTATCTTTGTGGTACTTAAAATTATTTTTTTTAGTTGGCCACCCACAGCCTTCCATGTACTTATTGCATATATATTTATGTAATTGGTAATATTTTTTCAGACTGATAACATTTTATTCAGGATTTGACTTTGCTTAATGTTAAACTGATAATGCTGCCACAATTTGTAAAACACTTGTTTATCAACCATACATTTGTCCTGTCCATCAATCTTCTGTTTGTCACAAAGCACATATCTGCTCCAAGACTAGATTATGGATACTAAAGCAAGAATAATGTAATTTAAAGTGTCAACTTTGCATGAACAATTGTCACTTTTAACTTGTAATTTTCTGCAAATCTAAAAACATTTGAGGGTTTGAGTTGGAGGGGGTGTAGACAAATTATATGTATACAGTATATTAGAGCCTATTTTATATTTTTCAATAGAAAAAAGAATTCACAAACAGCTCCAGGAAAAGATGCAGATATTTAGCAAAAATACAAGCACGTTAAAATATAACATGTTATATTATGCCATAGCCATGTACTCCTATTCAGATGGCTGTAGGAAAAATTCCTGAGCAGGAACTTAAAATGTTACTAAACCCACAACAGTAAAATTAGTCTGTATATGAAATAAAGCATGCTTGTTATACTCACTGTGGAACCTAAGGGCTTAATCCTCCACATTGTGTAAAAAGGATGTTTCATCTTGTCTTCTCTTATCATCCCTTTCTTCCAGTGTCTCCTAAATATCTCCTGGTAGAATAAAGGCTCATGGCAAGCTGCACATGTCAGTTTGGTGTGTATTGCTAGAGATTTTTTTTTTACCTGGGAGAGTGCTGTGATCAGCACAGTGCCAATCAGCACTGTCCAGACAGAGGTCAGGGGTCCTGCATCATCCTAGAGCAGAATGAAACCTCCTCCTACAAGCTGTAACCAGTGCTCTGCTGTACACTGATAGAAGTCTCAAGACTGCTTTAAACTGCTGACGAGAAATGGTATTTAGAAATTTATATTTACTAAAATAATTTAATTTCCATGTTCTGTGTACTGTGGGAGACCAGATATAGTGAATGCAGGGTCCTGGGTTTAGTAACACTTTAAAGATGAGCTCCAGGCAAGCAGCTAAATATATGATTGAAATTCATATTTGGGAAATGCCAAAGATTTAGAATTTTTTAGGCAACCTTGACATCCTGAAAACCCTGCCAGACAGCTGATTGGACAATAAGGTAACAGCAGGAAAAGTCATCGTTCTGCCCTTCTGCTCCAGGCAGGATGTTCTCCATAAGCACATGTACATATAGCTAGCCAGGGGAATACACAAAACTATCAACACGTGTTCAGATACTTATACTGGCTGTATCTAAAAACATATGTTTGGAGGATTTTATATCACACATGTATCTGCATTAATATATATGTGTGAAGTTTAGTAATTAAGTCAATATTTCCTATAAAAAAGAGTTTGAATATTCAACTTTATCTACAGTTTTGCAACTTTAATGATATTACAAGAAATTATATTTGAACATTATTTCCAATATATACAGACAGCACTATAAAGAGCTTCAAACTCCATGCAACATTCTGATATGGGGTCACTTCAGTTCTCAAACCTGTATACCCCTGTGAACTACAGCAATTGTTACATTTCTGCTATGGACCTGTCTATGGATATTTGGCAATATCATTTTTGCAATCCATAGACAAAAATGTAACAAATCTGAAAAAGCACACTTTTTTTCACTTTTGTCAGTACTATTTTGATAAAAATATTGTTACTGTAAAAAAAAAAAAAAAAAAAAAAAACTTTGTATTCTTTATTTTCTCCTCAAAAGTATTTTTCTAAGAAGAATCCTCCCCCCTCTAGTGATACAAACCCTACTCATTCAGTAATGCAATCAACAATAATTAATCCAAATCATCAGTGAATTATCCCGTATATGCTCTATTAAACAGTGTCCAATTATATTCCAAAAATTATAAGAAAAAGTGAAAAATTAATACAATGTCCCACTCAAAGTCACTCTTTGTGTTGTTTGAAGATCCTCACAAGTCAGCTCCCACTCAGATCCTCAAAAAAAAAATCAAAAAAGCTCCACATAGTGCATTATCATTAAAATATATATAGCACTCCACACGTGTTTTATATAAGTGCAAAACGTGAGAAAAACAACCACAGCAGCTTGTGTCACAACAGTGATGTGTTACACTCAGTGTGTTCACTACAATGGTGTCTGAATTCTCATACTTATAGATTATATACCCTTACCAGAGAACAGAATCTCAAAATCGTTATAAGATACAATCTAGTCTCCTTGTCTCCACTCTCCAATCTCATCCCCTCCTGGTATCGTCAGCCAGTTCCCTGGTCACTCAGATCCGTCCAGGATATAAGGGACAATGATAGTGTAAATCCGCAAAATATCTTTAAAAATATACTTTAATATATCTGCTTACATGTATACAATGACAATCGCGCATTCCAAGAAAAACTCCCCTGCCTGGGGATTGCCACGCAGCTCCTGGGTGGATATCCTCACGATTCCCCACTCCAAGATGGCCGCCGTGTTACTTCCGGTTCCTGCTTTGTACGTCCAACGTCACACCCACTGGCGCGTTTCGTCACATCCGGGACTTAATCTTAAGGGATAAGCACGTCGGACCATTGATCAGTCACTGCGAAGCCCGCCCCCCTTGTTTTCTCTCTCTGAATGGAGGAGAGAGATACATTGTATTTTCTCTGTCCTTTCAGAGAGAAAAAAAGTGTGTGTAAATAAATAAATATTTAAAAAAATAAACAAAATTACCTAGATCAAGGTTTAATCCAAGTCTGTGCCAAGCTTATTGTTTAGGTCAGGGTTAAAGGCCAGGGTCAAGGCCCAGGTTTTTTTTTTTTTTTTTTTTTTGGTTAGAGTTTTTTTTTCTTTCATGTTTATATTAGTGTCCGTGTCAGTTAGTGGCAGGATAAAAAAAAAAGCAAATTGCGCACCATTGTTTCTAGGCTGTACTACAGGTACAAACAACAACTAACATACACACATGTGGTATCGCTGCGATTGTCAGGAGCAGGAGAAATTATTTTGAGTTGTTCTTTGAGGGTAGGTTATGGTAGTAGGAAGAAATATACAGCTAAACTTAAAAAAAATAGGCCAATTTTTCTTTAATAATAAAAATAATCAGGAGATATCCATTACCATTTACCAACAAATGAAAGCACAATTTGTCTTGAAAAAAACAAGGTATAATACACCTGAATGTACAAAGTAGTTGTGATGATATGTAAGGTCACATAACTAACACATGTCAAAGTTGCAAATTGTGCTTATGCAGGCCATAGATGGGTCGAAAATCAGCCGATTTTTCGGCCGAAAATAAAATCGGCCGATTTTCGGATCGTTAGTGGGCTATCTGTTTGGCCGTTTTTCGGTATTTTGGCCGTTTTTTTTTAATCGGGAAAGTTGGAAAAAAATCGGCCGAATTTGCCGATCGGCCGATTTTCACGGCAATAATGGGCTAATCGGCCGATTTTTTACCGATAAAAAATCTGCGCATGAGCAGTGACCTGCAAGAGGAAGACAAAAAGAAGAAAAAGAAGAAGAGGAGGAAGAAGAAGAGGATGAAGAAGAAGATGATGATGATGATGATGAAGAAGAAGAAGAGGATGATGATGATGAAGAAGAAAGAGGGTGATGATGATGAAGAAAAAGAAGAAGAGGATGATGATGATGAAGAAGTAGAAGAAGAAGAGGATGATGATGATGATGAAGAAGACGAAGAAGAAGAAAAAGAAGAGGGTGATGATGATGATGATGATGATGATGACGAAGAAGAAGAAGAGGAGAAGATGATGATGAAGAAGAAGATGAGGATGATGATGATGAAGAAAAAGAAGAAGAAGAAGAGGATGATGAAGAAGAAGAGGATGATGAAGAAGTAGTAGAAGAAGAAGAAGAAGAAGAAGAGGATGATGATGAAGAAGTAGAAGATGAAGAAGAGGATGATGATGATGATGAAGAAGTAGAAGAAGATGAAGAAGAGGAGAGGATGAAGAAGTAGAAGAAGAAGAAGAGGATGAAGATGTAGAAGAAGAAGAAGAAGAGGATGATGATGAGAAGAAGAAGAGGATGAGAAGAAGAAAAAGAAGAAGATGATGATGATGATGATGATGATGATGAGATGAAAAGAAGAAAGAAGAAGAGGATGATGATGAAGAAGTAGAAGAAGAGGATGATGATGAAGAAGAAGTAGAAGAAGAAGAAGAAGAAGAGGATGATGATGATGATGATGATGATGAAGAAGTAGAAGAAGAAGAAGAGGATGATGATGAAGAAGTAGAAGAAGAGGATGATGATGAAGAAGAAGTAGAAGAAGAAGAAGAAGAAGAAGAGGATGATGATGATGATGAAGAAAGTAGAAGAAGAAGAAGAGGATGATGATGAAGAAGAAGAAGAAGAAGAAGAAGAGGATGATGATGAAGAAGGAGAAGAAGAAGGATGAAAATAAGAGGAATTCCAGTCCGGCAAAAAGTGTCTCTGCAGAGAGCACCGCTATTTCTTTGACAGTTCCTTGACATTTACAGCGGTTGCAACATTGTATCTATTTGTTTCCGAATAAAAACATCTGTATCCTAAATGGATACAAATAGATACATTGTTGCAACCTCTGTAAATGTCAAGGAACTGTCAAAGAAATAGCAGAGCTCTCTGCAGGGACACTTTTTGCCGGCTGTAGACGGGATGAAAATCGGCCGATTTTTTTTACCATTGGTGGTAACGTCGGCCACTTGAACGACTGATTTTTCGTTTTTTTAAAAGAAAAATCGGCCGATTTTCGACCCATCTATGGCCTGCATTAGGCGTTAAGATTTGTTTTGCCCTTAGGCACAAAGGGATTAATATAAACTGAAGGTTAAAAAAGGATTACATTAAAAAATTTAATTAAAAAGAAACTTTTTTTTTAATCTTGGGTTGCCTTAACTGACGTCATATGCAGATCAAAGCTGCTGATGATCAAAGCTGAGTGAGTACAAAAGTAACAATGATACTTTGGGGTTGATTTATTAAACCGGAGAGATCAAAACCTGGTGCAGCTGTGCATGGTAGCCAATCAGATTCTCACTTCAGCTTGTTCAATTAAGGTTTGATGGAAAAAAAACACTGGAAGATGAGTGGTTTGTATGCAGAGCTGCACCAGATTTTACAATCTCCAGTTTTAGTAAATCAACCCCTTTGTATATCTGATTTGCATCTGAACAGTGTTTATAAACACTGGGTAGATTTGAAATTGCTGGCAAATGCAGGGGTGCGAATGGCAGAGGAGTGGAAAATGGCACACTACACAGCAGGTTCATCTTCAGTGGCAACAGAAATGTAAAAGTTGAAGGTAATTTTAAAATAATTACTCATGCTGTTCCAGTATTAACTTTTTATTATGTGCTAATATTCATGTGAATTTGTCCTTGTAATAGTGGATTTAATATTAGTTCTTGAGCATTAAAAAAGCAACCTAATACTGAAGTGTTGATTGAAAGCAATATAAATCAAAATGCTAGCAAATTTATGGAAACTGTTGCTATGATAACAATCTCATTCTAATTGTATTGCTTAGCAATGCATCACTCCAGCACTTACACACCTAATGCAAATTTTAATGTCTCCTTGTTTGGCACTGTGATCTAAATACAATACATCTTTTTTACAGAGCTGATATTCCCAAAGGAGACATAGGAAATTAAATTATAAGTGCATTGGCTTTTATTAATCACTGTGCACTGCAATTTAAAGAGACTCAGAGGTTG